TTCTTATTAGAATTCGATTTGGCAGAAGAACTGTTAAAGGACAGATGATAGCATGGGCAAGGAACATCGGGCACAACATACAATTAGAAGAATGGGAAAGGGTATGGGAAAACAATTACAGTATGACAAAATCGGTAGCATATAAGGAGAATCATTATAAGATGTGGTACAGATGGTATCTGGCTCCTTCGAGGCTAGCGAAAATGTACCCCAATGTAAATCCTGTTTGTTGGAAATGTAAACAAGCTCAGGGTATTTTTTTCCATGCTTGGTGGCTTTGCCCAGAAATAAAGAAATATTGGAAAAAAATAAAAACATGGATAGTAGAAATAATAGACCAAGAAATTGAATTAGAACCAGAAGTTTTCTTATTAGGCATGATAAAAGGAAATATTAGAAAAGATATAAAATATTTAACACTACATATAATTGCGGCGGCCAGACTGGCATTAGCACAATTGTGGAAAACAGATCATATGCCAACAGATCAGGAAGTAATTCAAAAAATTTATACATGTGCAGAAATGGATAAATTAACTCTAGAATTAAAAGACAAGGAAGACTCAAAATATTTTATAGTATGGAATAGATGGTATAAGTGGATAAACCAAAGGAAAAAAGGGTAAAGATAAGAATTAGGGGAAATTAAAGTAATAAAGAATGCACCGTCAGATAGATAGAATAGGTAAATAAGTCACTGTTTGTATATATGTGTTTATATAATCACATGTATTTAGTTAGTGTAATTGTGTATTGATAATGTAATTTTATGATTGAGAAAATTTGTATATTTTCTCTTTTTTTAAAATATTTTTAAATTTAATAAAGTTTGTTTTTTAAAATTAAAAAAAAAGAAGTTAACTAGGTCCTCAATTAACTCCAACCCAATCATGCCCTGTCAACATGAACTGCAGGCCTCCGTCCTCATTATATTGTCTTTCTGTCATTCCTGGTTATTGATCAAATATCTGTATTGGCACAAAAGCATTTTCTCCATTTTCCAACGCTATATACCCCAAGATGAATAAAATCTGGAATGCTATGTCATTCACTGTTTTGGAACCAATCAGGTTGTACATATAATTAGAAGTATGCTTCGGAAGTATTTCCTCTCTAGTCACTAGCCAACCTCCTTTTCCATTATTTCTCTCCATCAGGAGAGAAATTTGAGACAACCATGACCTGGATGTCTGAGAATCTCTATAGACATTCTTCCATCAGACATTTTTCCTTTCACCTCTGTTACCTCCCCAGGCCCTTCCATTTTCAACCGGAATTCCTCTCCAGGTTAAATGAAAGTAAAGTTCACCTTTATTTCACTTAGGGAAGAGTAAGGGGCATTTTCCACTATTTCTAGAACACTTAAGATGCAACAGTCCTGTTTTTCCTCAATAATTGACCTAAAGCAAAAGAAAGTGCTTATTTGCAACTTCTCCAGAACTCAACTACCAAAACTAGTTAATTGTGCCATCATGGCAGAGGCTGCCTTCTCTTCTTTGATTTTTTTCCTTTATTTTTCTTTCTTTCATATTAATCTAGTTTGGGAGATACCAAGTGTGTAAAATGGAAAGAACAGAAAACCACTTCAGAAAAGATAGTTTTAAAATGAGATTCATCTTCAGAATCTTCTTTTTCTTAAACAAGCGAGGGCCAAAATTCAAGTAATATAAAAGGCATATAAACATATGATGCCACTGTTCATAATGCTAACACATCCCAAATCCAAATCCAATCAGTGCAGGCTGTGATTGCTCTCTAGCCATCAATGATTTTAAAAAAGTAGTGTAAAAAGTAGTGTAAAAATATACATGAGAAGAATTTTACTTGTTCTGTACAATGTAACTACCCTGATGGAATATCACATAGGCTTTCTTTAGGGTTTATAATCCCTTTATGAGATCCCTAGTTGCTGGTCAGTAGCTGCATCATATTGGAAGTGAAATACCTGTAAGCAACACAGTAGAAAAGAAAATTATCTTTTCAGGATGAGTTTTATTCTCTGATGCTTTAGCTGAGAACTGTACATGATGATAAATATCACTGCTGGGTTTTTTTCTTTTCCATAGTGAGTAATTCTGGATGCCATTTAGAGTTAGAACTTTTGATTTGGTCCTACATTTCTAGATTAGCATTGTAGTTTAAAAATTGCCTAATTTGATGCTCTATAACAAAAAGATTGGAGTTAATATATTGAAGTTACCAACAAATTCAGCTAGTTTATAAATAAGATGTTATATAATCGTACTAAAAGAAAGGTAAGAAAAGAATGCAGATCATGCCTTCTGGAAGTCCTTTAACATCTTTACTAGTAATGGCCATTTGAGATGTCCATGTTTTTCTCTGTAATGCAGTAAAGTTGGGGGGGGGAGGAAGGGCAGAAGCACCCCCCCCCCCGATAAACAGAAGTGTATGTTCACACATGCTGCCTGTGCATATATGTTTTTCTGCTTTCCCCTCATAGTGTGAGCTAAATGTGCATCGAGAAATATGGAGTACAAAACTGAACTGGAAAAGAAGGGATTTGAAATGGAGGCATCAGAGGGATTCCAAACACTGTCTGACTGTTTCCCATTGAAAAATGTTAGAAGAATTTTTTCTATTATTATTATTTTTTTGCAGTTCCCACACATATTTTGACTATTTTCTATTTAATCTCTCTTTTGCTAATTTCTCCCATCATGTCAAATTTAGTCTCATTCTGTTGAAGTCTTTTTACATTTCAGTGGATTGAAAAGAACAAAAAGGACCTGTTCCATGGTAGAGCTTCTGGCTTAGATGAATTGTGCTATGAAATCTGAGGTTTGATGACATTTTAAGAGCCAAATCTTGTTAGCCTACAGAATGATTTTACTAATCTATCTCTACCTAAAGACTGAGATGTACTATGATAGGAGTTGAGCAAATTGCCAGAAATAAGTCCTAGCCAATTATATGGCCATATGGAAGCTTATAGCAGCTTAAAGCAGATGGTAACAATTTACTTCAACAGAAATTCAATAGAGGTGTGAATACTTTCTATTCTGAATGGCTCCATGAACAGGTATTTTTATAGTCTATGCTCAATCTGCAATGTGTTTCAGATGTTGTGGTCCATATATAGAAAAAAATGAGGCTACTCTGTGTAGACGTTGTTCTATTGGAAGGTAGATGACAAGCAGGCAAAATGTTAAAGGCATCAGCACTGCTGGCTGAGGAAAAAGAAAAGGGCAAAGCTGACATGCACTACCTCTCTCACTTTCCATAGAATTCCCAGGGCAGCATATCTCACTAGCCTGACTATCCATAATCCGTCCAGTGCTCTTGAAAATTTTCATAAATGACCTAGATGAGGGGATAGAATAGAGGTTCAGCAAATTTACAGATGACGCAAAGCTAAAAAAAGCTGCTAACATCTCAGATGACAGCTTCAAGGTTCAAAAGGCTAATATTAAACTTGAACTCTAGCCTCTATTTTTCAAAAATGTAGTTCAAGCACAAGAAATAAAGGGTTGTGCACTTAGGTAGAAAGAACCAGATGCACAGGAGGATAGCAGGAGTCTAGTAGCACTTTTTCCAACTAACAGATTTTATTAAAAGGCATACGTTTTGTGAGCTACAGATATAGGTGACCTAATCTTTCCCATCTCCTCCATCTTTCATCTCTTCCTACATTAGTCTACCCACTCTATGCATCCAATAAAATCAGCTGCAATTCACAGCCTCTTAATAAAATTTGTTGCTTAGTAAAGGTCCTACCAGACTCCTGGGTTTTTTGTCATCAGATATTAACACACCTTTCCTCTTTCAAAGTACAAGATAAATGGTACATGGCTCAATAGTCATAATTGTGAGGCAGAGCATAGATTTAGTATGAGCCAGCAGTGTGCTGCAGTTGCCAAAAGAGCCAATGCAAATTTGGAATGCGTCAATAGAGGTATAATATTGAGATCAGAAAATAATTGAGTATTTCTAGTTTATCCTTGAGAGGTCAGACTGAACCTGACAATATAGTACAAGAAAGATGTTGAAGAAAGAATTCACAGAACAATGGCTAAGATGATTGGCTTACGATGGCAGTCTGGGCAGTGGCAGTTGCTATCATTATGTGGCAGCATCGCACAATTATATGATTTATATTGGAGATCCCAGTTGCCAAATTACCCAAATCATGATCACATGACTGCAGGGATGCTATGATAGTTGCAATTATAAAAACTTGTTGTAAGTATCTCTCATTCAGTGCCATTATAAAATTCAATCACTGAATAAGTGTGATGACTACTTGTACAGTAGATTAGATCCAATAAATCTGCCTAACTTTTGATATTCTCAGTGCCTTCCCTCCCTCCCTCTTCTCTGTTAATGTCCCAAACCTTTGACACATCCCTCCAAACTCCCCACTTCCAACTATCTCAGGTCCATCGTCTGTCCTTCCTTCCTTCCTCCCTCCCTCCCAGCAGATCATTTTCTCTGTCTCATTGTTTTCTTTTTCAAAGGTAGGTAGGTAGGTAGGTGGATGGATGGATGGATGGATGGATAGATCCACTCCTCTCTTAGATATGGAAGCCAATTGGGTGGCCTTGTGCCAGTCATTTTCTCTCTCAGCCCTAGCTTCTATCCAACAACTTGCACTTGAAAGGCATGATAAATAATGGTCCACAATTTTCAATGAAGAGATCTTCAGCGGATAAATTTGGGATAGTAGCACCATGTCTATGTGCATGCATGTGTATGCACATACAATGAATCTCATAAAAAATCTCATAAAAAATGCTTGTGACCATAATAAATGATCTATATGATACATAATATGTAGCTATATATAAACATATTATCTGGAGTCAGATAAAATATCAAAATTTTTACAAGATTGTTTTAATAAATACAATCAAATATCCCAGCTCAATTTGAGTCCAATTGGCCTATGTTATCACTTTTGAAATGCAGTATCAGCCCTAATTTGTAAGGATGGACTTGCAAACAGTAACCTGTAAGTAACCACATTTAAATACTATATTTACCTGCAAAACAAAAGTTTTACCAGAGAAACCAGTTTTAAGGCCAATAAGATCCATATATGTTGCATTGTTGATGTAGTTTTCAATTCCATGTAGAATTCCACGGCCTGTGGCTGACATGCGCCCATGGATTCCTCCCTGACTTATGGGTTTCCCAGTCACACAGGCATATGAATTGATATCCTGCAATTATCAATATGAAACAATATATAACTATGCCAACTAAATATTTATTTTCCCAAGGCCAGAAAGCTGAGAATTGTGTCATCTCCTGAAATATGTGTAGTTATCACTTAAAAAGAGAACAAACTTGAAAAAATGTAATACCACCAAACCTACAGCTTCTCTTTAAATCAAATCTTGAGAGAAGGAAGCAAGCTGCAAGGTTATTTAGACAGCAAGCTTTTTGCCCAAAGAATTAAATTTACCTTGTGTCCAAGTGTACAGGCATATGTATCAGCAATCCAGGACATCTCCCTTTCTCCTGTGTTTATATCAGGAGCAGCTACATCAATTCCAGGACCTGCTCATATTAAAAAAAGGTACAGCAGTCAATTTTTTTGTCTGGTCTCTTCTAGCACAAATCACAAATGTTGCCAGAATACATCAATCAATCAATTGTGCATATGTGTGTGTACAAAAGCATGTATAAAATTGAACACATGTTTAATTTATGCATTTTCTATGCAACCATATGTATGTTTACGCAATACTGTAGTACTAAGTTCAGTAAATAATGGATGGCAACTTTATTATTTTTAATAAAGGTTGGAAAAGGAGAATTGAACATATGAAATGGACTAACAAAATGGGTATAAAATAGACTAAATTGTATTATCTGCATAAATCTAAAGAAAGAAATGAGCATGTCAGAAGTCCCACTCAAATGAATATATTTCTAAGCAAAAAGTTATAGGACTGCACACTTGTTCTTAACTAAGAAGAATTAGAGATAAATAGAATATTTAAAGTCCATCCTTAGCCAACTAAAATCTTATTCAGTCACATTTCTACTTTGTTCATGTTAAATGTTACACACAAAGCTGAAATTCATATTTTTAGTTATTAAGCAGTGCAGTATTGCAATAAAACAGAACTAGTAGGCGCAGATCTTGATCCCAAATCCTAAGACCTAAAGATGCCATAGTAGCAAAATTGTTTCTTTATTTAAAAAAATCACTCCAAATATGTTCATCACAGTAATGATAGTGATAGTGATAATCATTATGGACCCCAAAATAAAGAGAGGTGCAATTGGAAGTTCACTCTGCACCAGAATAGAAAGGAGAAGAAAAATTGTAAGCAGAAAGAAAAAGGTTGAATGACTGGAAAAAATAGACCCTTTTAAAAACAAGATATGGATATGTTTTCATGTTAACCTCTGCAAATGTTTAAGGAGAGGAGGTAAGATAATCAAGAAAACTGAGCAATAAAGTCACTAGATTAGGGGAAGGAACTGAGAGCATATTGGTTTTTTCTTCTTTTTATGACCCCGTAATCCCTTTATTCAGGGTGAGTCGAGCTGAGTATTTACTGGCCGGATGCCATCCCTGATGCCTACTTGGAATTCACACATATTTTCTCTGCTTCCTGATAGAGAAACATCTGCCAGTGCTATGACTGAACTTTCAACCTTCCAAATGCTGCTCCTGAGGGCATTTTGGTTAAGGCTCTTTAAATTAGGCAATAATGCTGAAAAATATCAGACTTTCCTTAATGATAAAAAATGGATATTAACGAGTAGAATTCTGCAAAATTTGGTTCTTTTTCTATCCTTGTCAAAATTATATGATATAGTGCTAATTAAACAATAAAATTATTAGATTTTAATGTCAATTCAAACCAATCTAGTTGCCAGATATCCATAAAGAGATGGCAGGCATTATTCTAGCCCATATTTTTATAACTATGTAAAACTCAGTCAGAGGATGCTGAGTTCAATATAATAATGCTGCCTGCCGGCTGCCTGCAATTTGGCAGTTCAAATCCCACCAGGCTCAGCCTTTCATCCTTCCGAGGTGGGTAAAATGAGGACCCAAATTGTTGGGGGCAATATGCTGACTCCGTAAACTGCTTAGAGAGGGCTGTAAAGCATTGTAAAGTCTAAGTGCTATTGCTATAATAAGAGGACAACAGATTGGAGTATGATCTCTTAACCTCTTATAATATTTGGGCAGCTTGTGAAACAATCACTTTTTTTTTTTTTTTAACAAAAATGAACTCACCTATAAAACCTTTCTTGGCCAATTCCAATGTGAACTTTCTTGTTATTTGCTCCAGTTCATTTTCCTGTATGAGAATATCAACATTCAGTTATTATAGACTATCAGAGATGCTAAAAGGAAAAACCTATGACCGTGATGGCGAACCTATGGCACGCATAGCAATATCAGTGGGCATGCCAGCTTAGTTCTGGCCTTTGGGCCTTCTGAGCCCACCAGAAGTAGGGAAACAGGCTGTTTCCTGCCTCCGGAGGGCCGGGGGGGGGGGGGGGCCCGTTTTTCTTTCTTACCTGGCTCCAGATCCTCTCTGTATATCTGTGGAGGGCGAAAACAGCCTTTCCCTCTCCCTTGGAGGCCCTCTGGAGGCCCATTTCCCAACTTCCGGTGGGACAGGAAGTGACGTTTTTTGCTGTCCCCAGCCTCCAGAGACTCCTAGAGGCTGGGGACAGCAAAAAAGTCACTTCCTGTCCCACAGGGAGTTGGGAAATGGGCCCTTTCAGGCCTCTAACGGAGTGGGAAAGGCTGTTTTCACCCTTCCCAGATGCATAGAGGATCTGGAGCCAGATATGAAAGAAAAACAGGCCTACCGGGCAATCACATGGCAGAAGCAGATGGGGGAGGAGGGGTTGCGCATGCATTCGCAAGGCAGGGCGCATATAATTATGGGTGTGGGCACGCGCACACACAAACCTCCCCCACCCCCCCTCCTGGCACGCAATGGCAAAAAGATTAGCCATCACTGACCTATGACATCTACATTACAATTTTTTTTCAGGAATAAACTGCATCCTACAAGACAAAAATCTTTCAGCATCAGTACTTTGCCTTAACAGGCAATTCTTTTAATATATAATTCAATATATAAATTCAATATATAGGAATGCAATATATAAATTCCTTTTATATATTGTAAAGAAATAATATAAATCCAGCTCAAAGGATCGGGGGCGGGGTGAGTGCACTATTGTGTTGGTTTGCGTTTTTCCTTTAGGACCCATTCCAGTTGGTATTGGTTGGGAAAGAGAGGTCCCACTCCTGGCCTCTACTATGTGGTTTGCCACAGGATTTAGTATTTTTTCCAAGATGTTCATTCACAGCCATGGGATGATGATGATGATGATGATGATGATGATGATGATGATGATGATTTTATTCAATTTGTATACCGCCCTTCTCCTAGTGGACTCAGGGCGGTGCACAGCCAGAACTAAAACACATACCAATACAAAATTTAAAATATATGAGGTAATCATATATTTCTACCCCTGGAGATTTAAGTGATGCTATTAATATCTTATTCCTGTGTCTGGAGGCCATAAGGGTCTGGATGGAGAACAGGTTTCAGCTGAACCCTGGTAAAAATGAGTGGCTTTGGGTAGTGTGGCTCACTGATTACAGAACTTCATCTCTGGGGCTGGATGGGGTTGCACTATCCCCCCCACCCCACACAGTCATCATCCTAGGCTAACGACTCCGGCTAAAGGAGCAGGTGGCAGTTATGGATAGGAGGGCCTTTGCTTCATCTGATGTGCCACTTGTAGCCATTCTTGGATTGGTAGGTCCTATTTACATCATTCATGCACTGGTCACTTCCAGATCAACTACTTCAATGCGCTCTACATATGGCTGCCTTGAAGAGTATCCACAAGCTTCAGTGGTACAAAATGCAATGGCATTCTAGACCAGCATGTGTTACAACTGTCTGCAAGCTGCATTGGTTGCCAGTTTGCTTCTGGGTCCAATTCAAGGTATTGGTTTTATACTTTATTTCATGACATGGGACTGGATTATCTAAGGGACCACCTCTCCATGGTTACATCAGCCCACCCCACTAGATCTGGCAGACTACATAGGCATGTTGTAGGTACCATTGGCCAAGAATTTTACTTGGTGCATCTCAGGGAGACAAGACTTTTCTGTTGTGGCACCCACTTCATGGAACATTCTTCTTCCTGAAATTAGACTAGCATCTTCCCTTTTGTATTCCAAAAAAGCCCTCAAGTATTGCTTACGTTGTCAGGTTTGGGGCTCCAAGGTGACCTGCTCAGATGGCTCCGTTGTAGAGGTGGGCATTTTTATCCTCTCCTGTGATATGTATTTTTGCTTTATTGTTTTGCTAATAATAATTTATTAATAAGGGCTTTATATTGCACATATTTTTGTTTTTATTCATTGTTCATATTAATTCTTGTTTCCCATCCAGGATCACCTTTGGTGTTGATAAATAAATAAGCTTCTAAAGGATTCCATTTTTCTTAGGTTGTTCTCTATTTTATACAGAATAATTAATATTTGGTCTTCCCCATTTCATTTTTACAGTGATTCGCTATCCATTGTCTGATATGGGTATACATTGATTCAAATTCTTTAATGCACTAATTCATCCTCAAAATTAGAGTATGTCATGAGGCCTTGGGACGGGGGCATGGCAAGTTCATGTCCTGCTGGTAGCAGGTCTGCATTTACAAGGAAATTTGTGGCTGGCAAAAATTCTCACAAGCGGAGAGATCATTGAGATAACCCACATAACCCCAGACAGCTGCTCTTCTTGAACAGACTGCAAGAACTGTTTTCGCAAATCGCTTTTCAATTGAGTTCTGGGAATTGAGGGATACCATCAAGCTCATACTGATGAAGCAGACTTTTAAGGACACAAAACTCAATTAAGCTTTATTTGATTAAGTCTGAAATAGAAAATTAGATATAACTGGTTTCCCTTTCTGGACTTTTGCTGACAAAGAATGAATGACAAGGCTTTTGAATTTTGTTTTCTAGTTAAGAAATAAGTCATGGGGTGAAGATAGAATATGTTGTGTTAAAGAGTTGGCAATAAGCTATTGAAATTGTTTTTATTTGCTGGGATGAAGAGGTGACTTGCTTCTTTTTTTCATTTTTTTTCATTTTTCTTTATTGTTTTTTTCTTTTTCATAACTCTATGTTTTTATAGTTTGTATAAATTGTTATTCTTAATAAAGTTATTTGAATTTTTTAAAAAAAATGCGCATGTCAGCATGCCCTATAACCGTGATGGCGAACCTATGGCACACGTGCCACAGGTGGCATGCGGAGCCATATTAGTGGACACGCCAGCTCAGCTCTGGGGTGCATGTGCGCGCCGGCCAGCTGATTTTCGGGCCTTCTGGGCCCACCAGAAGTAGGGAAACAGGCTGTTTCCTGCCTCTGGAGGGCCTGGGGGGGGAAGGCCCGTTTTTTTTTCTTACCTGGCTCCAGATCCTCTCTGTGTATCTGGGAACGGCAAAAACAGCCTTTCCCACTTCCTTGGAGGCCCTATGGAGGCTCAAAGGGCCCATTTCCCCACTCCTGGTGGGACAGGAAGTGACATTTTTTCCTGTCCCCAGCCTCCAGAGACTCCTAGAGAGGCTCCTAGAGACTCCTAGAGAGGTTCTGGAGGCTGGGGACAGCAAAAAATGTCACTTCCTGTACCACTGGGAGTTGGGAAATGGGCTTTTTCAGCCTCCGTAGGGCCCCCAAGAGAGTGGGAAAGGCTGTTTTCGCCGTTCCCAGATACACAGAGAGGATCTGGAACCAGGTAAGAAAGAAAAATGGGCCTACCAGGCCATCATGTGCCAGGAGCGGGGGGGGGGGTTGCGCACACATGTGCGTGGGCACATGCACGCGCGACCCTCCCCCGCGCGCCCCCCTCCTGGCACGCAATGGCAAAAAGGTTAGCCATCACTGCCCTATAAGTAGAGAAAGAACCTATACTTACTGAATAATTCTTTGGCTCAATAGCCACACCAGCCTTTGATCCACCAAAAGGAACATCTGAAATAAACCATTACCAACAAATTAGCATTTTATATTTTCATCCCTTATCCAGCCAAAGAAATGTAATACGAGAGCAATTTTTAAGAACAGTTGAGAGAGTATTGCCTTATAATTTGAAGTTTTTCTTTTCTTAGAAAGAAGCAAGTAAAACATTTAAACATGTTAAATACATTCATGATGAATATCATAAAAAGCCTACTAAAGAATGACAGCTCTGCTGCTTAGAAAATATATGGGCTTTTTTGTAACTTAAGCAAAGATATTTCTAAAACCTAGATAAAATCACCAGGAACAAGAGAAGAAAAAAAATGGCTTGTTATATGTAATCCTGATCATTAGTTTGTAAACTTTAGTTATGATGTAGTATTCTATATGAACATTTGGCCTAAATAGGCCAAACTTTTTTACCCAAATACTTAACTTGAGTTGTCAATTTAATTTTCTCTAAAGTCAATTTATATTTACATAAAATGCTGACGAAAATGTATTTTGAAGCCTAAGTGATGATCATCAAGAACACTGTAACTTACAAGAAATCCAAGATAAACTAGGCTAAAGGGATCCAAGATGGTGATTTAGAATTTTGCTTAAATTCTATTCATATAAATATTCTACTTAAAAATGTTCTACTTATCTTCTTTAAGTTACAACTCCTACTACTAAAGTCCTTGAAAGTACCCAATTTGCACTTGAAGGAGCAGTTTCAAACTCAAAATGAAGTTTTGTGAAATTCCACACATGAAATAGTTAGAAGTGAAATGTTATGTACGTTCCTAATTAGCATACTTTATCATTGTAACTCATTATGTTACTTTATTTCCAGAGACTGAACAATTTACAGTATTAATACAATGATAAAAAACTATCGTATGATTAATAAATTAATACATTATAATCATTCAATATTATGTTCCGCCATTTGGGATTAACACTTATTTATCCCCAAATGTCTTTCTGAAAAGTATAATGTGAAATAGATGGTCCAGATACCTAGGAGCAAGCTCTTCCCAAGGAATGAAGCCATTATCAAGTGAACTTCGGCTTGCGATAGCCAAAGACAGCATTTCCTTGGCAGTAGGACCCATTAGCAAGTCCTCTCTCACAGATAATTCTGAATCTTCCCAATTCAGAAAAGACTGTTATTGAGACAATTATGCTCTAACTCATAGCTTTAAAGTTAGCTAACGTAGGTAAATGGTAGTCAATGTCATTCCTATTATAATGTTGTTATGCCATAGTACCCCCATAACTTTCCAGTCAGCAAAATCACCTGTGACTGAAACCACTAGGGAGGACAATTAATGAAGAACAGAACTCTTACTCCCAAATATACTGCCAGAAAAATAGCATGCTTCCTGGTATCAAAGGCCACCAAGAGATTTGGAAGAATTTGGATACTTAAATTCCCTCTATCCTAATTCTATCAAAGGTGATCAACAAGAACAACCAGTGCTGTTTTGGTTCCACACTCAAGCCTGTATCTGAATCAACTGAAAAGGTCCACATTAATTCAGCTCATAAAAAAAAAAACCCACTATAACTGTAGTCCAATCATCAAAAAAGGCAAAGTTGGAAGCTTTGGAAAAAAGCAAAATACCATAGTTTATCATTGTCCAGTTTATTTATATCATGCATAATTTTGACATCTCAATCATATCCCTTCTCATCTCATCCTTTTCTAGACCAAAAGCTACCTTTTTCTCATAGGGTAGCTGTTCCAGCCTCTTGATCAACTTGTTTGTTTGTTTGTTTGTTTGTTTGTTTGTTTGTTTAACTGCCTATCTCCTTCAAAGAGTTTGGGTAGTGTTTGGAATAAAATATTAAAAAATAAAAACAGTATATAAATTTTAAAATTTTAGAGGGAGGCAAGTATAATTAAACACTATTAAAATTAGTTAAAAGTCTAAGGGAGGGCTCTCAGGGCACCAGTCTGAGAACTTGACAGCTGTGAACAAATGTGTATTCGCCACACAAGGCCACAGAGCCATGTTACCTTTTTCTGAACCATCTCAAGCTCCTCTATATCCTGTCTGAGATGCAATGACCAAATGACACTATGATTGTAACTATGATTTATGATCTATGACCTATCACTTTGTTGTGTGTATGTACACTGAAAGCCTACCCTACCCTACCCTACCCTAATCATTTGCCAGGTACAATTTGTACCATTGATTTATATAACGACATTATGATATTGGCATCTCTTTTTTTTTTTAAAGTACTGTTTCTTATTGTCTCTAAGATGCCATTGACTTTTTATCAGCAGATAAACAGTGTTAACTCCTTCATTAGCACTATTACTGAAAAATATCTTTCTTCACTGATCACTGCTAGCTTTGATTCTATTGGTATGATAGTTGGGATTTTTGGCACCAATGTGTATTGCTTTACACTTGCTCACATTGAAAGACATCTGACATTTTGACATCCAATCCTCAAATGTTTAAGAGCCCTCAGAGCTCTTCATAGTCCATTACTGTTTTTAACCACCTGGAGTATTTAGTGTCACTAGCCAAGTTAGTTATTCCACAAATTACCAATTCCAGGTCATTCATAAATATGTTAAAAGTATTGGTTCCAAGACAGAATCGGGGAGAGCACTAGTTACATAACTCCATTGTGAGAAATGAGGATTTACTCCTTTTTCTATTTTTTTAGTCAACTGCTTATCTACAAGAGAATCAGGTCTTTTATTCCTTGGCTATCAAGGTTTTCTTTAAATCTAAATAGATGCTATCTATTGGCTTATCTTATACATGTTTGTTAACACTCTCAAAAAACTAATAGTAGATAATTTAAATAGGACTTTCCTTTAGGGAAGCATGTTGAGTATCCTTGAGCAAGGCCTATCCACATATTTGATTATTTTATCTAATAGCAGTTTCCACTACCTTCCTGGAAATGATTTTAAGTTATAGATCTATAATTTCCTGGATCTCCCTACAAGCCCTTTCTAAAAATTGAGTTATATTGGCCAATCCCCAACTACAGAGGAGAAGTATAGATAGGTTGCATATTTTAGTTAGGTCTACAATCTCAACTTTAACCTCAAAACTTGGGTAAATGTCATCAGGGTCCAGTGATTTGTTGATGGTCAACCTGTCAGTATGGCCTAGCATATTGCTTCTTTTGTCCTCACTATATGGCTAAAACAGAACAGGAGCTCAGGCTCAGGGAACTGCCCAACCTTTCTCCTATGAAGATGGAAGCAAACAATTTGTTCACCTTCTCTATTCCAAAGGTGCTTTTTCCAGAAGGCAATGGGGCTTTCTTGTTTTTTTCTTTGAAAACATTTTGCTTCTTATCTAAGAAGCTTCTTTAGTAAACAAATGAAGAAGCTGAAAAAGCTTCTTGGATGTGAAACAAGACATTTTCAAAGAAAAAAACAAGGAAGTCTAGTTGTCTTTTAGAAAAAGTATTTTTGGGACAACTATGACCTGAATGATTGAGAATCTCCATAGACATTCAGCTTCTCTACAATTTGGTTTTCTCCTTTTAGCACTCTTTTTGATTCCTTCATCCAAAAGACCTATGGCCTCCCTGGCTGGTTTGCCATTTCCTTGATGAATCTTTTATTATCTAGTTAGCTCAAAAAACCATTTTTTTGAGGAGACAATGCATTATTATTATTTTTGAAGGCAGAAGACAGTAGTATACACAATAATTTCTGTGAATCTCATCACCAGGAAAATTTCAACATACTGACTTCCAAGTCTGCTCTGCCTACACTTAATATTTACTCATACAGTGCTAACTCACCTACCACTGCACACTTGTATGTCATCAAAGCTGCCAAAGCTTTTACTTCATCAGAACTAACAGATTTGCTATATCGAATTCCTGGAGAAAAAAAACCAAATATATATCAATGTATATTGAACATCTATATCCATTGCAAACACACTTTATTATTTTTGTGAACTCTAGTAATAAATGTTTGAGAATGCTACAGAGTTTGTATCAAAGACTCTTCAATGAGGCTTTTACATGGATCCTTTATTTGCACCAGCCTCAATCATACAAAGTTCCCTGCTTAGAGTTGTGTTAGCCTGATGCATTTTGTTTCTTAATTTCCATATTTTGTTAATGAGAGGAAAAGTTACATATTGGTAGATAATTGGGAAAAGAGGGAAGATGAACTCAGCTTGAATTACACTTTGATATGTATCTGTAGAAAACTCTGTTAGCCAACTGTGAAAAGTATACTCACATCATGGTAAACACTTTACAAGCCAAACTATTATTGGGTCTAGTTGTCATTGCTTCAGACTAAGATCAGTAGGAAAGAGTTTTATATATTTTTCAATTTCCTCCAAATACCTAAGCATTTTCCATGACTTCCAAATGTTTATATTAAAAAAAATAACTGCCAACTTTTCTAAAACAATTCATAATTTTAAAAATATATTATATAAAAATATATAAAAACCATATTTTTAAAAATATATTTTAATATGTTTTAAAAAACCCTCTAGATAATACTAATAGTAAAAAAAAAAATCAATTGAGCAGACAGTACAATTTTATTAAGCTAGATGGCAGCATTAATGAATGGAAAGCAACAAAGTGCATGCCATTTTTCAAAGTTCTATTTTTAATACCACAGAAAATCCATTGTTTGTATCTAGACCTACCAGATCTCAGCTGAAAAACTCTGGACCACTAGACAACAGTAAAAAAATCAATCAACCTTTTCTTTGCTGCTTACCAAATGATAGATAAAAGCTTACATGGAGATACTCTGGATTTTTACAACCCACCATCTACCAACTGCATTTTGCTAGAAAGCAAGCAGTTTACCACATGGGTTGTATACTGCTTAGCAACTCTGAACACTAGGCTTCCTTAAACAGCAGGGTTTGGTAACTACAACTAGACAGATCTTAAAATAGCCAGATATCTACTTTTGCGTCATGTTGCAACTATTTCCAACATTTATCAACCTTCTTTCCTTAAAACGCAGGTTCACTAGTCATGCAGTACAGATTGTCAGGTGTTAAGCAATCTGTTTTTGCAGTCCCACTTTTGTTTGGATAGCCAGATGGCTATGTTTACTTTTACCAAATTCTAAAGATGCGATCAGTTAATGTATTAAACACCAATTTATTTTGGGATTTGTATCTGAAGTCTTTCACCTGCTCAAGCAGACAACTTAACTTTTAACGCATCTAATTCTATGCATAGATTTGCACAAGAGTGAACCATAAACTAGTCCATTATGTTTTAAATTTATTGTGCCAACCCATAATGATCATGTGGTGTAGAATATTATACAGACAAATATGCAAACCACAGTTCAGTCAAATAAGATCGAAGTCCAATCAATACAACCAATAACTGCAATCCTGTGCATATTTTACTCAATACGTTTTTAATATCTTCAAGGCCAATTATTGCTTTTGAATATCTACACTTGCTGTGAAAGTACAACTTAACGATTTTTATTGTTTGCTTAAATTTACAGTACAGGAGAGGAGGTGCTCTTCAGGCTCACCTCCTTTGCATGGCATACGGTGCTGGCTGTGTTGGGCACGACAGCCCTTGATCAACTCCCAACAGCCACTGTCTCTACGAACGGGGAAGGCCACCTCCAGGACGTGGCCGCAGCTCCGGATTGCGTCCAAGACCCCGCGAACCCGCAGCATTCGCCCATTCTCGTCCTTGGGAATGCGAAGTCGCTTTACGAGCTCCTTTTCAATCACACGCTCCGCCCGGTCGAAGTAGCTTTCCACTATGCTCAGTAAGCTAAGTTCTCCCTCAGCCTCCTTTGCGTGATTCCAACGGCAGGGCACGAGCGGTTTCCCGCGACTTCTGCCTGGAATGTCCCCGCCCCCTACGGAGGGATCCCGTTCCCATGGAAACGAGGCCTGGTATTTCTGAAGCCCTGTCGAACGCGGGAGCCCCGCTCTGGGCTGCCACGAATAATCCCTCCCAAAGGCCGTTTCTGGCAGCCGACCCCACGCCTTCAGCCACCACCGCATTGGACGCGTGAAGAACGGAGGGCGCTGCCCTTTTTTTTTTTTAATTAGGGCAGAACGAGCGCGAATTTTACTCAGCTCCGTCACGCAGAACAAAAGGTGAGGCGAAGCGAAGGAGCTAAATTTGACGGATATCACATTGTGAAATTTTGATTGGACAGGAGACCATCCAATGGGAAAAAAGGGCGGGAAAGACGCCTTGGTTGCCGGGGTTAAAAGCAAGAGAGGAGGAAGAATGTAAACTTTATGTCTAATGGAGAATAGAAGGCGATAGAGAATGGTTGATATCAAATATGGAAGGTTTTTTATTATTTGTCATCGGTCTTAATGAGGAAATGCAATCCTATATATGGTTTTCTAGAGTTGAGCACATTGAACACAATGAGATTTTATTTTATATAATTATATAGATGATACTGTTTTACTTCTCAGATATACAAAATTGCAAGTGGCTTAATATTTCAATTATTTGAACTGCATTCCTGTTAAAGGAAGAATCACTCGATTTTTCATTTTTTATGATAGAGTAAAGGTTAGCTTACTGCATATAGAGAATTTAAACATTTTGGCTTCATGTTTTGATAGGCCCTCTATTACAGTAATTGAATTTATTAAACTTATTAGTTTCTCTCTCAGAATTAGCAACTTTTCCATTCCACTCAAACATTGGCATAGACTCTTCTCCATATCACATTCCAGTTCTACTTATCCTCTAATACTTTGCTGAGTGTGGATAATATGACAAAATTCTAGGGTAAGACTGTTTTCAAGGCATGTGCTAAACCAGATAACTTTTCAGGAACGATATAGCCCCCTGCTATTTTTTTTTTAATTTGAAGAGGTACTATTATTGCTGGGATGGGGTGTGGGATTCTCATTCAGCTTTTGTGTTCAGATATAAAGACAGGCATCTCTGGATAAAACTGTTTCTTGATTATGAAATTAGTTTTTATATTGTACTACTAATCTCAGATTTGATTTGATTTATTTCATTTGTTTATATTAATTAAGTCATTATGGTTTATCAGCTATTTATGGTTTAGCTTGATATATTAACTCAGCTAATTGTGCCATATGAAACAAATCATGATTTAGTATAATGTGTGAAGCCGGTGATAGTGTATTATAACTTGCACACTTTCAATCCAAACTGTGCCTGGGGTATTTCATATCATCTGAAATAATAAAAGCATCTTTAAAAAAGAAGATGAGAAATGGGGAGGGGGAGATTCACTAAGGAGAAATCAAGAACATTACGGTAAAATCAGAAATGAAGATCAATGGTAGAAATCTCAAAATTGGAGTTGAAAATTGAACATGTGTTTAGAGTCGTAGCTAAGCTAGAATGCTGCTAGACCTTATTTTGTTCACACTCCTACTTATTCTGGCTACTGTTTGAGAATATATAGTATTCTCAAGTGAAAACTTTTCTCAGAAACTTTCCAAGTGAATTGATCCTAAAGATATCCTGTCACGTAGCCCGGGTAAATCACATTTTCCTATTTTTTTTTTTTTAAAAAAAGGAAGTGAGGGTTTTCATTTTGCATGATTTTAGGATTAATTGGCATAACATTACTCTCTTCACAGTCTGATTGTGAAGAATTACCTATGTTCATTACTGCAGTTTATTTTTTTTTTAAAAAATGTGACTATATATTATTTCAGTGGTGTATCATATAATAAAACTGCTACCTTGGTAAGTTTTAATTTTATTTATTAAAATCAACTTTATATCACCTATTCAGAAGACTTTGAATAAATAAATAACAGCATAAAACAACCCATGAAAATCATCCTTTTAATATTACAAACTATTATAAAAATAAAAATAGGTCACCTAACATTCATCAGCTAGATACAAAATATTTGAAAAGTAAGGTTTACAGTGTCTTCCTTTTTTTACTTCCTGAAGTAAAAAAAATGCAAAATTAAATTGTATGTACTAATTTCAAATTTAAACACTAAACTAATTTCTTGTTATGTTTATTCAGATACATAAGCATTAATGCAGGCATTGGCAATATCTGTCCTTCCAAGTAGATGGATAAAGCACTTTTTCCAATTTGTAACTATAGTACTTATAGTGGGTGTTTATGTCCGCCAATTTTTTGATGGATGAGCAGCTTTCAGCAATATTAACGCAAGCTTTGTTTGTTAGACAATGCACCCGCTCTGCAAGGCATTCTGTTCTCAACAAAGACTTCATCATTTATAGTCTATTGGTTGCACAGCTTGTCTTTCTCCTAGTGTTTTGCAAACATCTGTGGCCTGATATCAGTATGATGAAGAAAACTGTGAGAAGTGGAATAACTGGCAACCACGCAACACAAGAAAGAAAGATTAATATTATGGTCCGTTGCACAGTAAACCTGTTATTCAGACTGGATTTAGCATTTTTATCCACCTATCAAATCCTTCCCAAGAACCTAGAATAGCATAGGCAGCCGTTGATGTTTTATAGTGTTAAAGTTATCAAGCTGTCCTGAGTAAAGCTGCCTTTTGCAATTGACTGAAGGTGAATTTTATCAATGCCAAAGGTGTTCAAGTGGTGCTCCAGTTATATTGGGATTATACCCAAGGCGTCTATAACTATTAGTATTACCTTTCCTTCCTTTTGTCAATCGTTCTATTTGCAGGTCTTTCTATTTTGTTATCTTCTCTTCTATTCTGCTGTCTCCAGGTACTGCTATGTCCACTATCCAGATTTTTTTTTTGTCTGTCTTATCAAGTCTGGACTGTGGCATGGGATATGTTTATTTGAATTCTAAATTCCAAGAGCACTTTGGCTTACTTCACTGTGGTCCTATCAGTTCTTGCTTTCAGGAAAATGGCATATTCCAACTGATGCTATTTTGTAATGCCATCTTTTGTAGTCAGTCTGATCTTCTTGCAGCCGCTAACCAAGGGCTCTTCTGTTTCTTCAACTTCTTCAACTTTGCAGAGGCAGCATTTGCTGTTGTTGCTGTCTTCTCAATTGTGGCTTTGTATGTATTTATTTTTAACGCTTGGTCTTGTGCAGCCAGAGTTAGCCCCTCTGTCTCTTTCCTTCTGTTAGCTGTTGCCAGGTTTGTTGTTATCTGTTTTGTTGCTTACTTTTTAATGTGCTGGCAATATAATATTTTGTCTTCTCATGTCCATTTTCTATTCTAAGACAATATAAATATTTTACAGGTATTAGCCTTTATTTCCCTTAATATTTGGGTATCTTTGTGATAAGTTTATTTTGTAACACTTTCTTTAAACTATTGCCTAATTATTTACTTGGCTATATCCAAACTCAAATTTCCCAGAAGTCAGGAGAGAGACCAATTATATGTATTTTGCTTTTAACATATGTCCACCAACAAGATCAATACTTTCTCTTTAATTAGAAATATCCATTAAGATGCAACGTTTGCTATTTATTCCAAAATTTATTGTTTTTAGGAAATAAGTCAAAGTGTGCCAGAATTGTCATTGTTCAGAGAATTCCTTGTCAGAGTTTAGAGAGCAGTAATTGCTTCTCGAGTGGACAGGTTACAAACTTGAACAGAATGAGAACTCTCTCAATGTGCTATATTTTAAGGCTCATGTGATTAATTCTCAGTAAGGCTCTTCCTGTCAGATTATTATAAAGGGATTACAAAATAATCACACTTAAATGTATTCTTCTATTCTGTGCATGGATGATTTTTTTTTTTGCCAGTTCCTAGACCCATTTTTCTGGAACAAACTATGCATGTTCTGGAAATTAAAGATCAAAAGGTTAATGTGGTCAGGAAAAAAATAGATGAAAATAAAAAAAGCCAGAGGCAAGATACACAGTCAAAACATTCTGGTGCTTTAAAACAAGGCAGGAAAACTAGGGAATTTTGTGTAAGACTCAGTGAAATAAGTTGGCTAAATTAAAAAGAATCTGATTTGAGTATAAAGGCTTTCTATGACCTTATGTACTGCTATTGGCTATGATGTTGACTGACCCTGTCCTTGTTGTCAGAGAGTGCTGAGCCAAAATGTGTGGCTTCAGTTTTTGGCTTCAGTTTTTGGTTTAGCAACTTGTGTAAATTATTGTAGATTTTTTTCTTTTTGCAAATCATGGTTTATGCTCAGCCAATCTTATGAAAATGACATATGATTGAAGTAAAGCTTGTGTGAGAATAAATGAAATGCTTAGCAAATGTTTTGGCATTATGGATGGAGTAAGAAAAGGATACAGTACGTAGTAGCCCTTTTGGTGTTTTTATGCATTTATGGATAAAAGTATAAGATATATTTATGGTAGAGGAAGAGATAGAGGGATGTTAATAGGGGACTTGAATGAATATAAAGTTTTATGTGTAGTTGATGTGCTATTGACAGTGAAACTAAATTATTTGTAGCTGGTGTAAATATAATTAGTGTTAACAATGAATGAATGAATTAATGAATCGGTTGAGAAGAAAAGTAAGATGGAGAAAGTGGAGTTTGAATGGGGTCAGTGAGATCCTCAAAAAGATGGGTGAGAATGTTAAAGAATGAAAGATAATCTATGAAGCAAGTATAGGTAGAGCAGAAACAAGAATAGATTGCAAGGATTAAAAAAACAGTATAGTGAATGATACTGGTGTAAATTGCTATTAACAGTAATAGTTTCTTCTTTTGCCTTTATCTTCTTTTCATTTCTTTTGTTTACTATTCCTTACTAATTTTCTGTGTTCTCTATACCACTTTTCTTGAAAGGGAAAAATATTCTGGGCATCTATGTATTTTTGTTATCTATGAATAAACTGTAATTAAGCAAGCCACAACTTTGTTCAGGTGATGATATCAAAGGAATTACAGCTTAGGGAATCCATAACGTCTTATTTATTTGGTTTGCTTAGAGACCAGATCAGATTAGGGGTTCAGTATTTTTGCAAGTTTATAGCATTCTTAGCAGTGCCTAATATCATCTGGTGTTCTAATGCAGTGGTCCCCAACCTTTTTATCGCCGCGGCCCGCTGAGCGCGCGCAGGGGTGGGGGCACGGCCCAGGAGCTTTTGCGCACGGCCCATTGCGCACGGCCCAGGAGCCTTTGCGCTGCAGCGTTCATGTCCCCCGGCCGCTGCGCGGCCCGGTGCCAGGTACTCCACGGCCCGGCACCGGTCCACGGACCGGGGGTTGGGGACCACTGTTCTAATGTATTTAGGAACCACCCATCTTCGCATAGAGCAACTCATAAAGTGACATAGAACAATTGATTTAAACAGTTAAAGCAATGCTGGTATGGATAGAGTCAGGAAATCAAAGGACTGGGGAATACAGTGTGGGTGTTTATTTCTCTCTCATACCCACTCTTAATGACAGAACTTAATTTTAGCTTGCTTGTCATTAATTATAAGAAGAAATAAATATGTATTCTTCTGGTAATTGGAAACATGCACACATATATACATATATACACATGTGTGTATGTACAAAATTATTCTTCATTAGTTCAGCCATTCCTCCTCCTTGAAATCAAAACTTTGCCATCTGTCATCATCACATCTGTTTTAAAGCTTGGCCTTTCTGCATGGCTGGCTGCATGAATTGGCACAGCATTCTTGCAGATAAAGTAAGCAGCCATCTGTGAAAAGAAGGGGTGGGGAAAGATAGCTTCAGATATCTTTATGCCTTTTTACAAGAGAAAGATCCCTACACCAACACTCTGCAGCCCATCAAGCAAATCGGGCCTGGCATATGCATCTCATTTTGCCGTGATCTCTTCTAATTCCTGTTTATTTCTCATCTCTCTTTTTAAAAGGTTTCCTCACATGTGTTCCAGATGCAGAAAGTACTTTCTAGAAAATGAGCATGTCTTAGACTGTTTGCATGAGGGAGATCACAACTGTTTGTAGTAAGGAAATTTTTTTAGGAGTTCACAAATCATGTTTGGGCTTATCTTTTAGTATATTATTGTATTTGTTTCCTTCACTCTGATTTTGTTTGTTTTGTTCGGTTGTGACTCCGACCCCCAAGCCCATCTTATCGGAGGGAGAAGACTCCGAAAGTGAAGGAGAGGAGTTGGCAAGGCTTCCCTCTCCAGGACCCTCCTCTCTGGCAATGCCTCAGGTGTCTTCCGAAGGAGAAGAGATAGGCCAGGAGCCAGGCATCTCCGAGCAGCCGCAGTTAGACAGCGACGGAGATAAGTCTTGGCTGAATCCCTGCCAGCGTCGGAAAGACAAGCTCACGAAGCAGAGAAGGAGGCATGCCAGAGATTAAACTGAGTCACTGGACCACACCCTATAGGGGATAAAAGGGGGTGTGGTGGCCATTCAGGCTTTGTGACGGACAAAACTGAATAGCTAGCAAGTCATACTGTGTTCCTGAAACTTCGTTATATGCCTTCCTTGGATTTATTATGGACTGGACTTGACAATTCTTTGGCTTTGTGAATTTATTTTGCTTTATCTGACGGAGGAGGAACACCTCCCTTTGTGAGTAAAGTTTTTGGCAAGCAGCTACTGGGTTGCTGCCAATTCTGTTATCAAAGGAAATTCCTGACTGCTGGTTTTATTAACTCCTGGCTGACTGTTTGTGTGTGTGTGTGAGACGGGGACAGAACATGTTCTTTTAAATACTGCTGGTTATTGACAGAAGAAATATGATTGATTGATTGGACATAGTAAGCAAATGCTATTTCTACCAATGTCAAAATTGAATGTTTTTCTCTTTAACAAATGGCAATCTGCCATTTACACATAATGAAAGGGTTTATAGCCCTTCAGAAGGAACAGTTTTTCTGAAAAATAAGTGCTGCTTCCACTCCTCTAAATAGCAATAGTATACACAATTGTCAAGCCTCTGTGCTTGATTTAAAATGCTGGGAAACACACACACACAAACATACACATCCCTAAAAAAAAAAACCCAGCTTCAGATGTCTTTTTTTCCTTTCAATGCAGCACCTCCTGTGTACTATAACTATAATTTTCTGTTATGAGTTTCTTATCTGCACTGGCTTCTATATAGAATAACAGAGTTGAAAGGGACCTTGAAGGTTTTCTAGTCCAATCCCCTGCTCAAGCAGGACACACAATATCATTTCAGACAAATGGCTATCCAGTCTCTTTGTAAAAGCCTTGAATGATGAAGCACCCATAATTTCTGAAGGCAAGCTGTGCCACTGGTTTATTGTTCTCAGTGTAGGGAAATTTCTCCTTAGTTCTAGGTTGTTTCTCTCCTTGGTTAGTTTCCAACCATTGTCCATGGAGATTCTCAGTCATCCAGGGCATGGTTGTCCCAAAGGTGCTTTTTCAAGAGGCAACTGGACTTTCTGGTTTTCCTTTGACGTCTTTGAGACATTTTGCTTCTCATCCAAGAAGCTTCTTCAGCTTTGATTGGATGGTGAGCTGTCTGCAAGGAGTATAAATCCTTCCATTCCCCACCATCCAATCAAAGTTGAAGAAGCTTCTTGGATGAGAAGTGAAACGTCTTCAAAGAAAAACCAAAAAGGTCAGTTGCCTCTTGAAAAAGCACCTTTGGGATTTCCAACCATTGCTTCTTGTCTTGCTTTCTGATGCTTTGGAAAATAGGTTGACTCCCTCTTCTTTGTGGCAGCCCCTCAAATATTGGAACACTGCTATCATGTCGCCCCTAGTCCTCCTTTTCACTAGACTAGACATACCCAATTCCTGCAACCATTCTTCATATATGTTAGCCTCTAGCCCTCTAATCATTCTTGTTGCTTTTCTCTACATTCTTTCCAATATCTTTTTTATATTGTAGTGACCAAAACTGTTTGCTGTATTCCAAATGTGGTCTTACAAGGCCTTTTAAAGTGGTAGTAACACTTCATGTGATCTTGATTCTATCCTCCAGTTAATGCCGCTTAAGATTGCATTGGCTTTTTTTGGTGGCTGCAGCATGCTGCTGGCTCGTATTAAAGCTATTGTCCACAAGGACTCCAAGATTCCTCTCACAGTTACTGATATTGAGTAGTTCGACTATTTCCTCTTTGTGTGAAGACAAAGAAAAGAAAGAATTAAGTAGCTCTACTTTCTTCCTGCTGCCAAACATTTCTTTGCAATCGTCCCCCCATTAGTGGACCAATTTTTTTCCAATATTTTTGTGGTTTTTCTATGTTGAAAGAAACTTTTTTCATTATTTTTGACATTTATTGCAAGTCTTACTTTACTCTGAGCCTTAGCTTTTCTCACAAACTTTCCAGATTCGTCTATCTGCTAATTTTCTGCCTTAGTTATGTATCCAGAGCTGCGGTGGCGCAGTGGATAGAGTGCAGTACTGAAGGCTACTTCTGCTGATCACCAGCTGCCAGCAGTTTGAAGTTTGAATCTCACAAGGCTCAAGGCCTTCCATCCTTCTGATATCGGTAAAATGAGGACCCAATTGTTGGGGGCAATATGCTGACTCTGTAAACTGCTTAGAGAGGGCTGTAAAGCACTGTGAAGTGGTATATAAGTCTAAGTGCTAGTGCTATCCCTTTTTCCATTTTTTATACTTAACCTTTTTGTCTATCAGTTTATGAGAGAGTTCTTTCTGAAACATGCTGGTTTCTTCTTGGATTTCTTATTTTTTTTCTTTTTTCGCCATAACTCCAAATAGACATAGCCCTTAACCCTAACTCTAATTCTAACCCTAACCCTAAATTCATTTTCATTGGCAATGGGATTTTCCCATGTGTTTTACTGTGGCCCAAGAATCATTCCAAACAAAAAGCTATCAACTAAGCTTTCCTCAGAAAAGCTCTAAGAATCAATCCCTAGCATTCGTTTTTGGCCATGACTCCAAGTAGACATAACCCTAATCTAACCCTAACCCTAGTTTCCTTTTTATTGGCAATAGAATTTTCCCATGTATTTTACTACAGCCCACAAACAAATCAGAACAAAAAGCTCTTAACTTCACTCTCTTTAGAAAACCTCTAAGAATTTGATCATAGTATTCGTATTTGGCCATGACTCCAAGTCAACCTAAACCTAATTTAACCCTACTTTCATTTTCATTGGCAATAGGATTTTATCATGTATTTTATTGTGGACCATAAACAACTCTAAATGAAAAGCTGTGACACTGCCCTCTAAAAGACTTGGATCAAGTTTGAAAAGCTAGACAAGATTAAACTAGTTAGTATTTAGATATGAGAACACTGAGGTTGAAGGCTCAATTGAGAAGAAAGATGGCATCAAATTATTTTCATACTGTTACTAAGAAAACTACATGGACATGTCTGATCTATAGATAATTAGATCTCAAATGAATAGTTATTTGATTGATTACACACTTTTGTTATTATCAGAGGGGTGCCATTTTGTGACTGAAGTACTGCCATCTGATACGAGTAAGTAATTGCAGCCTGTCCTAATGTGCTTATTGTCCTAATAAGGAAACTTGTGTGTTAAGGTAAAAACATACTACGGTTTAGTTGTGACTTAGTATGACATAGCAGTCAGCCCATTATGTCTTGATATTATTTATTTATGTAATTGCATATCACCAACTCTATAAGTATTCACTGGGATTTATAATGCTGTACATAAAATTATAAAGGCATAGATGAGTTTCTAAAATATTGTAAAATCATCAGCCTGTTCCAGTATTCACAACCCAACAACAATCTTAGGTATTAAAAGCTCTACAGTAAAACATTCCATTGAAGACTATCAGGGTATCATTCAGATTTCTACAAGAAAATTACCTCAGGATGGAATCAACATTTTTTCCCCTGGCTTTCCGTTCTTATATCATACATACAAGGAAGACACTCAGCATTTTAGCATGGGACTAATAGTTAGTCCTACCTGAAGGATATACCGTATTTTTCGGATTATAAAACACATCGGTGTATAAGACGCACCAAGATTTCAAAGAGGTAAGCAAGAAAAAAATTTTTTTGCCCTCCCTGGCCCCCAGGAGCACTCTGCAGGCCTCGCAAAGCCTCTGCACACCCTGTTTTTGCGAAAAATGGGCCCGTTTTTCTCAAAACCGAGATGCACGGGACAGGGCTTCGGGAGGCCAAAAATAGCTGTATTTGGTGTATAAGACGCACCATTTCCACCCCCTTTTAGGGAGGGAAAAGTGAGTCTTATACTCCGAAAAATACAGTAATCCTAAAAACAACTGGGTTGCGGGTTGAAAGCAGCATTTTGTATTTGGAAGCCAATTGAAGTGCAATGCAGCCTGCAAAGCCAGTAATATATATTTATAGTAGCTCTCACTTGCCAATGGTCAGTCTTCTCCATTTTGCTGTACTATAGCTTCTAGGGTAGTATTCAAAGGCAGCAGTATAGAGGATATTGCAATAACAAGGATGTGAGCTACTGTCTTCAGAGCTTCCTGCTAAAGGAATGGCTGCAATTGGCTGCTCAAAGACTTAGACACAATCTTCATCTGTTTATACAGATATAGACTTATGATCACAATTGAGCCCAAAATTTCTGTTGTTAAGTGAGATATTTGCTAAGTGACTTTTGCCCCATTTTATGACCTTTCTTGCCACAGTTATTAAGTGAATCACTGCAGTTGTTAAGTTAGTCACATGGTTGTTAAGTGAATCTGGCTTCCCAATTGAC